TTCTTAAGAGTAATACCAATGTCGCTAATTTATTCCCTCTTAGAAAACTTTATTTGTTTTATTATGTTTAGTTTTTAATTCATTTCCTGTTTTTAAGGACAATACCAGTGCCATAGATAACTAAAAAAACTGCAATTTATGTGTAAAATGTGTGCAAATTGCATCATTATTATTTTTGAATTTCTTTCTTATTAAAGGTTGGTACCAATGCCACTATACTTCATTTCTTCTTAGAAAAGTTTACTTTTATTTTTGTGTTTGTAAGTAAGTATACACGCAAGTATGATACACCATGTGTGTAAATTATAGTAGAGATCGAAAATTGCACTCTATATGCTTATTTTTGGCATATTACAAAAGTGCAATTTCAGGGCACACTTGTGTGCAAGTTATTTTTTAATTTTCTTTCTTCTTAAGGGGTTTCATTTTCCCCTAGAAAACTTCATTATTTTGTTTTGGTTTTTTATATATTTTCTTTCTTCTTAAAGGGTTTCATACTTGTATAGAAAACTTCATTATTATTTTTTAGTTTTTGTTTTCGTATTTTGTTTTCTTAAAGGGTTTCAGTCTTCTATAGAAAACTTCACTATTTTGTTTTTGTTTTTGTTCTTTATTTTCTTTTTCCTCAAAGGGTTTCATTCTTCCCTAGAAAACTTTATTATTTTGTTTTGTTGTTATTTTTTTTATTTTCTATCTTCTTAAAGGGTTTCAGTCTTCCCTAGAAAATTTCATTATTTATTTTTTATTTTATTTCTTCTTAAAGGATTTGATTCTTCCCTAGAAAAGTTTATTATTTTGTTTTCATTTTACTTTTAATTTTATTTCATTTTCTTTCTTTAACGATAATACCTTTATTTTTGCATATTATAACAAAGCGCAATTTATGTGTAAATTGCATGCAAATATTGCCATTACTTGTTTTTTATTGCCTTTCTTCTTAAACGGTATTGTCAGTGTTCAGATTTTTTTTTATTTTCTTTCTTCTTCAAGGGTAATATTAAATGCCAATGATTCATTTTAGCTTAGAAGACTTCATTATTATGAATGTTTTTGCTTCTATTTTCTATTTCTTCTTTAAGGGCATTATCAACTCCACTAATTCATTTCTTATGAGAAAACATCTTTTTTACAACCGTTGCACTAACATATGTTTATTCTTGCATACTCTTAAAAAACATAATTTCTATACATATTGTGTGAAAGTTTTATCATTATTCGTTTTGTTTCTGAGGGGGTGGTGATGGTGGGATGTACGGTTGATGGTGTAGGAGCGCAACTTGCTTGAGGTTAGGCACAACCCACAAAGCTAATCCCTCAATCATAGTACTCCTCGGCTCAACGACAAAAGCAGGCACACAAAAGCAGCATACAATTACTACGTACCACAAATTAGTTTGGATGAAAAGGAGGACGTATGTATCATGCGTCCATGCATATGCATGCAGAATGCATGCATGCATACATGCATGCATGCGTAGATGCATATCATGCACGTGTGCGAAATGTGTGCATGCATATCGAATCTGGAATGGGATGGCTACCAAACACAAGTGCCGTTTGTCGCCTGGCCCCTATTTTGGGTCAGTCAAATTTGCTTCTTGGGCTCGTTTTTGTTCTTCTAGGTTGCGTTTTTCTTTTTTTTCGTTATTGGTTATTTTTATTTTTGTTGGTTTTCGGCTGAGTGTAATTATATACGTACAAATACTATATAATATGCGACCAAATTTCATGATTATATGATTATTTTTGCATATTACGATAAAGTGCAACTTCGGTGCAAAATTTTGCCCAAGTTTTTTAAAAAAATTCTCTCTTCTTAAAGGAAAAACCAACGCCACTAATTCATTCAATTTCGGAAAAATAAAATATTATTTTGATATTATTTTGTCTTTACTTAATTTCATTCTACTTTAACGTTAAAACCAATGCCACTATTCATTTGTTCTTAGAATTTGTTTTTGCAAAAGTTTCACTTTTATATGCTTATTATTGCATATTTTTTTAAAGCGCAATTTTTATGTATATTTCGTGCAAATTTTGTCAGAGTTTATTATAGATTATTTTTTCCATTTTCTTTATTCTTAAATGGTAATACCAATGCCACATATTCATTCTTTCTTTTGTGGGTATTTTTGCTTTATTTGTTATTCTAGTTTTTTTTGTTAATTTTTCCTTTTTCTTTATGCGTTTTTTGGATGTTGAGTGTGTGTAAATATATGCACACAAGTACTACATGTATACATTATATTAGAGTCTGGAAATTTCACCATTGTATGTTTCTTCCTACATATTATAAAAAGTACAATTTTTGTACTAATCTTGACAAAATTTTAGTTTTAAGTTTTTATTTCTCTTCTCTCTTATTTAAGGGTAATACCAATTTCACTAATTCATTTCTTCTTTGAAACTTATTTTTTATGTAATTCTACTAGTATATGTTAGTCTTGCATAGCTATAAAAAGTGCAATTTATGTGTAAATTATGTGCAAATTTGATTAGGATTTAATTTTTCATTCCTTTCTTCTTAAAGGGTGGTACCAATGCCACTACTTCGTTCTTTTTAGAAAATGTTATATTTTTTGTGTTTAAATAAGTATACACGCAAGTAATATATAACATGTGTGTAAATTGTAGTAGAGTGCGAAATTGCAATATTATATGTTTGTTGGTTGCATATTACTAAAAGTGCAATTTCAGGCAAACTTGTGTGCAAATTTTTCCTCTTTTTCTTTTTTTCTTAAAGGGGTTCACTATTCCCTAGAAAACTTTATTATTTTGATTTTTTTAGTTTTTTTTATTTTCTTTCTTCTTAAAGGGTTTCATTCTTCCATAGAAAACTTCATTATTTTGATTTTGATTTTGTTTTTATTTTATTACATTTTCTTTCTTTAGAGGCAATACCTATATCATTCCATGATTTTATGTTTTTTTTGGTTGCGTTTAACACATCGTAAAAATGATATATGTGCATGTATGTATTGTATGCAGTAACAATTGCGTTGCATACAACACATCGTGTTGTTGTCCGGATAATGGTTGTGACGGGTGTTTTGCTTGTGATTAATTACATGCTAATGGCCGGTGCTTAATTAGATTAGCCGGTTGCATGTGTCCTACCGAGGGGATCGATCCGTGGGCAGCAAATCGACTGAAATAAAATTTGGTCAGGGCACAAATTTTATTTCAGTTGACTGATCTATAGCCTGTCCCGGATGAAAAAGAGCGAAGACGGCATTTTCAACCACTTTTATTTCTTTGGTCGTAAAAAATCCGTACTATTAATTAAGAGAGAATCCGCATCAAAAGGTAGGTTAAAATCAAATACAGACATAAAAACATATTTCACCCACTATATAGTCTTCCATTTTAAGGAGAGAACCTCATTTATAATCTATGTAGAAAGTTTGCATCAGTGCGGTCGGACCACTCCCTTGTGGAGTGATCAACATAGTCACTGTTACGATGGTTGTACCGCGGGCCAAGGAGGTTGTACCACTCCATGTGCAGGTGGTACTACCGGCCGAAGCACCGGCTCAACCACAACCGCCGCCCAAGGGTACACTCCTCGGGTATGACAAGCGGTATCCGACGGTGGCTGCCCTGTAGTTTCGGCTATTTACATAATAGCCGGTACGACCAGTGTCCTGAGCGGTTGAACCGCTCCGGACTGAGCGGCTACTCAAGGACGTTTGCTGGGCGGTTGTGCCCTCAAGAGACATGAAACAGTGGCCAAGCAGGGTTCATCGCGGCCTGGGACTCCACCGATGACCTCCACTGATGCTCGTGAGGCTTGATGATTCGGTTGTATGTACTTCCTCCGTTCGGAATTACTTGTCATCAAAATGGATGAAAATGGATGTACTTAGAACTAAAATACATCTAGATACATCCATTTCAATGACAAGTATTTTCGGACGGAGGGGGTATGTATTTGGTGACTATTGGGTGGTTTTGGTTGTTAAGGGAGGGAGTGCGTAGGCCAAGAGAAGGAAATATTTACGGTAAAAAAAAGAGAAGGAAATATACAGTACTGTTTTTTTTAGATAAAGGAAAATACTGATTTGGCTTAGATTCTTCCAAGCTACTGTATGACTCGGTTCTATTTTTACTTTTTTTGTGCAGCACCGGTTCAGGTTTTGTGGGCAGGGAAAGGAGGCCTGACTCGTGATGATCAGTCAACCGGGGATTCGTGGTAACCCGAGACGTAATAATAAGGAAAGAGACAAACGATCGGGATTTCCACAGTACGTGTACGTGTGGCCTAATCTAGGATTTGGTGGCCGCGCAGAATTCGTATTGGACATTGGAGTCTGAGCAGGTGTAGATTGGAATTTGCGGTGGCTGTGTATATATACCACACATATTTGCCAGCCCGATCAGGCGATCAAGCTCCCCCCGCCGCAAAATAGAACTGGTACTATGTCTTCCTCTTCCAGCACAATTTTCCGGCCCAGCGTTGGTCCCGACGATCTCGCCGACATCCGCTCGATCGGAGTCGAACCCGTGGTCGTTGAAGATGAGCTTGAGAAGACGTCCTGGCGGCAGCGCTTCGTGAAGCTGGAGCCGGCCCGCCGTGCACAGGTGGTGGGAGCTTTGCTGTCCCTATCTTCCATGGCGGTGCTGTCCTTGGCCGTTCCCGTTGTGCTCTTGGTTATTTTCCACGGGCATCAGATGTCCCAGGTTGGCATCCTGGCAACCGCTCTATGCTACTACGTCTTCCTCCTCCAGCTCTGCATCTGCCGGAGCAGGGACGTAGCTGCCTTGTAGGCAATGGGGTCAATTGACCCCAATAAAATTAGGAAATCCTTCATTAATTTACTACTAAACACTGTCTATTTAATGAAGATGACCCCACTGCCATAGACATGACCCCAACAAACTTTTTTTCTAGCTTCGTCCGCCGGAGCTGCTCATTTTACGCCGACTTTAGGCGCATCTCCTATGGCCTTCTCCTTTCCTACTTCAGTGCTGGTCAGATTGGCCTGCGCGCTGCCATTGTCATGCTACACTTGACCACGGCATGGGCCACCGCATATCTTGGTTACGCTCTGGCCTCGCACCGCTTGCGCATGGGCACCGAGCGGGCCATCATCGACGGCGAGCTGCCCCAGCCGTGCCACCACAGCAAGGACAGGGCGTACAGGATCGCCAACACGATTCCTGTCGCGGCGTTCATCGTGACGGTGATCTGGACCGCTTCCATGACGGCCATCATTTTTACAAACGACATCACCGATGAGTTTGATATTGTCTTTCTCCTCTCATACGTCGGTTGGATACATGTTGCCGTCTGGTTACTATATGTTGCAGATGTACCCATGCGTAAAGTGCTGATGAAAGAGCCAATGGTGTCTCTACTTGCCTCCCTCCTCCCATGCCTGATGATTTCTCCGGTGATCAGCGTTGTATGCCGTATTCTGTCAATCTTGTTCCAGTGGTTGATGATGATGACTTTGGTCGCTATCCTTAGTTACAACCTCAGTGTTTATCTACACTATTTGCTGACTGCTGCTTCATACAGGTATGGATGTTTTAAAGCAAACTAGCTAGCTCGATATGTTTGGTTAAACGTTCAATCTCGGTGACATTCAATCGACTAGCTGGGGCATGAACGTCTATATGATCTGCAATTGAATGCATATTGCATTTGGATGAATCTGTTTTTATTTTTTTGTACTGAGTTGAGATCTCCTGTAAACAATTTAGCGTCTAATTTGTCAGAAAATTTCAGCAATTCTTTGGTAATGTCCAGAGTGAAGGACAGTAAAAATGCCACTGTAGCCTCTTTTCTTGTTTGGTAAAATGCATATAGTAAAAGCTTGTATTTTTATTCTAAAAGAAATGCCATTGGAAAGGAATTGGCCCTATTTCACGGTTTGTTAAGCAAGTAAGTTTTGGAATAAGTAACCTGTCTAATGTTTTGATGGGCTCTTAACAGCCAAATCAGTGTATAAGATACTTCAGGAAATTAAAGTTATATTCCTAGATCTGGAATATGAAAGACCAAATTCTCTTAATGGGTGAACAGGACTCTATTTATATGCATCAACAACATCTGCAACTCACATGCATATATCTTTTTGGTAACTCATAGCTAAGTAAAGTTGATCTTTCCTGAATATATTTTTGGCTTCAGGGTACTCGGTAAACATGATAAGTCATGTCAAGAGAAGTTGAACAGCATGGAGCATATGGGCGACCTTGATGAGAATCCAAAGAAGATGACTGCGACATGCAACCCTGTTAAGGACAAGGCTCTGGAAGTGAAACAAGACAGGGGGCTGGAAATTCAACAAGACATGGGCAAGAAGGCACTTGATAACATGGAAGAACATCGTTGCTGGTAGCATAGTCACGTGAGTTATATGTGTGCCGGATATCTCAGGAACGGCTTTGTAAGCCTCATCATCTTGTATCGTTCGGCCGTGTATCTTTTCGGATGTTGCTTTACTTATAAAGCGGGGCGAGCGCCTATTTCAAGAGGGGGCGGCGTGGAGAGTGAAGAAAAGAAGCACACTTTGGGCACGAAGAACATCAAGGATCGAGTCTTCTCATCTGAGCACCGCCAGCACCAAAAGTTGAGGCCAGTCTGTCCCGGACCAGGTGTGGACTACTCTAACTCTCCCCATCACAATAATGTCAACCGCAGGATGGATGCCATGAGCCCGCGGTGACTCCGGCTATCATTTTGGGTGTAGATAGTGCATGAAACTAAGATGGTTTGTTATCACTTGTACCTCTTAGATGCTTTGGATCAGTGCAATGATGTATGGTGTGTCTCGACCTGATATTCATTGAGTCTTCTGCATTTGCTTGGTTACTGACGGTGCTTAGCGTCCCTACATTTGCTGTTTCCCAAAGCATAATCTGCTGTAGGCTTTGAAATTTAAAAGGCCTCCGGGGTTGAACTACTGAAGTGTTGCTTTGCTGTAATGCACCTTCAGTCTTGATGTGTATTTTTCTAGTACGAGTTTCTGTTGCAAGGAGAAAACGTTTGCTTGGTTATTGATACGCTTGTAAGTCGTAATTTTGTCTGTGAAGAATGTACCACGCACCCAACCGTCCTGACTGAATCACCAGGATCGCTTGAGGGAAAAATAATATCCCTGCATGGACCCTGCCCATCGTCGACGGTGCTTCTTGTTGATGTATATTGCATGTCTATTACTTGTGCAACAAGCCCGGCTCCTTTCATGTATAGTTGAGGACGTGGCCACCCATTGTACCTATATATGTACGTGCATATGAACCCGAAGACAGGAAAAGCGTTCTAGCTTTCTGCCGCTAGGGACTCGCGCTCTGCCGCCGTTCTCCGGCGGCTCCCCTCCATCGACAACCTCGGTCATCGGCAGTGAGGGGGGTCGCCGGATGGCCCGGATCCACGCGTGTGGATAGTTTTAAACCAAACTAGCTTGGTTTTTTAGGCTGCTCACCGTCTTGACTTCGGTGGCACTGAATAAAATTTCTTCAGATCCTACTCCGATGACGATTGGCTCTACCGTTGGGGATGAATTTGGAATCCAGTCTATTCAAGCAAGGATGGTGTGGCGCTGGCGGCACCTCGTGGTGGGCATGTGTCCTCAGGCTCCGCCGTTGCGACGGCGTATGCTCCAGCGTCGGCACGGAGCTTGGGAGGTAGTCTAGGAGCGAATGCAGATTGTGGTTTGTATCGACGACTTCTAAAAGATGGAACATGTGCTAGGTTCATGGTTGACGGATGGCAGGTGTGTGATTTCCTCCTTTGGCGTCTTAGTCGTGGTGGGGTGTCAGATCTGGAGTTCAATGGCGTGTCCGGGGTGTTGCCCTGGTTTGATTTGTTCAACAACAATGGCTTCACATTTGGGGAGCCAACTTGGAGGTCCGCAAAGCTGCTTATCAGCGATGGAGCTGCATCGAGCTCGCGTGAGGAGGTGACCTATCATTTTATTCTTCGGTGGCTGCTGTGGCGGTGCTGGAGGCAAGTGATTGACATTGGTGTCAAACTCGAAGACGTTCTGCTATCTTTTCTATTTTATCATGTCGGTCTTTACATGACTTGTACTTTGATCTTTATCATATGAATAAGACACGTATTACCATGCAAAAAAATGAATCTGTCCTGAGTTGCACCAAACCTATTCTCTATGCTCTTCATAGCCCTGCTCCACTGTCCCTCTGCGACCTCGAAACACCGCCATTCACCGCACCATCACGTAGTCTGGACGTACCGCTCAGGCCATGTCTGACACCGGCCGCTTAAGGAGGCGCCAGGATCAATTTCCATTGACTTCCTGGCTGACGGGCAGTTGGGTTGAAAAATCCTGGCACCGGATGCACCATCTCCGCCTCGAGGAGATACTTGGTGGTGGGCCAAAGCGTGTCACCGACCTCGTGGAAGCTCCTCCATGCTTTTTGGGCTTCCGATCGCTGCCGAGGAAGAGGGCGTCACACTCCTTGGCCTGCTTCGAGCGCCACGGCTCGACCCCGAGGGCGGCTGGAGCTACCGGCCTCAGTGTCGCGTCGGGGCGCTTATGCGTGAGTGAGCCGCCGCGGCCCCATGCCCGCGACCTCCGTCGGCCATGGATCAAAAAGTATGTGTGCGCGTGAGAATCAGCCACTGGAATAGGAAGGATTTGTTGTCGAAGTAGGTGCAATTGCGGCCGAGACTGGTGGAGGAATGATGTGAACCCTAAATCGAGTTCTATCTGGTAAATATAACGGCACTGGGGAGAAAATATGGCCCACTTGTAAAAAAATATGGGTCGGGCCTTTTTTACAGGATCTGCTTGGGCGGAAAAAAAGAGCCGATCCTTTAAAACACCGGGAGTTATAAGGGCCGGCGAGGTATTACAGGATCTGCTATAGTTGCTCTAAGCTTACCGAAACTAGGTTGCACCACCGGCTCGCATAGGCAGCAGCTATATCTCGCTTCAGGCGAGATAGAAGCTTCTCTCGCCTCAAGCTTTTCCGGTGCACTACAGTACCAGGCCGGGCCATTTTTATGAGTTGGTCGCTTGCTCGGTTCACATGGTAGCTACGTTTTTTTTCATCGGTTTTTTTGGTCTTTCCTTTTTCTTCGTTATACTTCCATTTTCTTTGTTTCTTCATCGCTTTTCTTTAGGTTTTTTTCTTTCTATTTTTCTATGTTGCACTTCAGTTTTCTTTGTTTCTTAATTAGTTTTCTTTGATTTTTCTTTGTATCTTTGTTATACTTTGGTTTTTCTTGTTTCTTCCGTGAGTTTCTTCATTTTTTTCTTCAGTTTTTTTTATTTTCTTTCTTTCTTCTTCTTCTTCTTCTTTCGGTTTCTTTTTGTATCCTTTTCCTCATTCGTTTTCTTTCTTTCTTTCTCGATTTTTGCTATTTTCCATTCTTTTTGTAGTGGTTTCGTTTGGTTTTTTCTTTTGATTTTCTTTATTTCCTTTTTAGTTTTCGTTAGTTTCCCTTGTCTTTCTTTTGTTTATATGAAAAATTGTTGATCATGTATTTTCAAAATGTTAAACATGTATAAGAAAATATTATTGATGTATACAAAAAAAATTACAACGTAATTAAATAAAATTAGTCACAAGAAACATATAATTTAAAGAAGTTAATTATTTATTTAAAAAATGTTAAACATGTATAGAAAAATGTTTCTGATGTATATGAATAATGATGTTGTGTGTAAAAAAATATTTCCATTAAAAAATGTTCAACACATGATCAACATTTATTTATACGTATTTAATAATTTTTAAATACATGAGCAACATCAATATATGATGAATATTCTTTTCATACATATGTATGTTTATATATATATATATATATATATATATATATATATATATATATATATATATATATATATATATATATATATATATATGGAAAATGGATACTACCACCTAGTGGTAACTACCACCTAAGAATCCACCGTCGATCTTCCGTGCTTAGATCTGAGTTTTTCTTTCTTAGAATGCTACCGAATTTTAACGGGTCTAGGTTCCACGCGACCCGTTTGGTGTTATTACTAATTATACTATTAGTTTAATTGGTGGTTATCTATGGCGTACTGATGCCCATCGCTTATCCAAGAATTTGAATGCATCTATCTATTCGTCGTTCTTATCTGGATACTAACCAAAATGGTTCTATTTTCTCGACCTACCGTTCTGCCCGTCCACACTTCCCTCAACAACTGGAGACCGCGGATCGGCGTCGTCGCCGTGACTCTCACCGGCTGGACGGCGAAGCGTCGTCGTGATTATTCTTCTGCCACATCTGAGGCAGTGAAACCACGGCTGGCCGACGTCGTCCTGAGTACCACGCAAGTCAAGGTGATCATAAGCTGCATGCTTCCATGCTCCGTCGCTTTCTCTTTCAACTCTCATCTCTATTGCTTCATGTGGATCAACAGGTTACGAGCAACGGCAGGGAGTAGTGCGTTGAAGCGATACGACATGCACAAAGTTGATTGATGTTCGCCGGCGACTTGCGGGTGACTGTACAGCGACGGAGACGGCAACCAGTGTTGTTCCTGAACATGCGACATTACTCACTGCCATCAACGATGATGACGAGCCAAACCTTGCAACGTTGTCTATCGCCGTCGACGGTAGCGGCGCCCGCGTGCACGACCCATGCTCACGAACTGCTAGATCCAATAATGGCGGTTGTATGATGCATGATATTCTTTTGGACTTGAGAGAAATCTACGGTTACATTCCTACCAAAAGAACGATGTAGTTTTTGGGTCTCTCATCCACATCCACCTAGGCAATATTTGAGGATCAATCACAGACTGGAGTTCATGAATTTATCAACGAAGAAGTTTATTTTTTGATACACACGATCCATGCTCATTTTTTTTCATACTACATACTACTACTTCTGTGTACAAAATACTGTATACTACATACTATATGTATACCCCATACATTTTATATAGAGATACACATATATACTACTTAAGAGTTGGTACGTAAAGCCTGCCTTGAATTTACTTGATGGAGATCGGCCAGCAGCGTACATACGCCATTTAAGATATATTCCATAATTTGTATTATACATTTGTTTGTAGTACAATATACTCCATACTTCCTTGAAAGGAAAATACTCCATACTTTCTTTTACATACTATATACTCCCTACGTTCTAAAAATATTACTCCACTCTATATACTCCTTTGAGCGCATACTATATACTCTATACTCTCTAAAAAATGGCACCACATTCTTTTTAAACCCATTATACGCTATTTTTACATATATTCTGTGCCACTTTCTGGATATACTCTTTTTTGGATGAATATACTACTCAATATTTAATTCAAAAAAAGTTATATGGTATTTTCAGAATTAAAAAATTATATAGGCCAGTTTCAAAAGAAAATACACATATACTCCATACTATCATTTTGATATACTCCATACTACAGCTAAGAGCAGTATCTATACTTCCATACAAACTAGAATATTATGTACACTTACCAAGAAAAAAGAGAGTAGTATGTACACACCATACAACAAAAAAGAGTATACTACATACACAATACTACCTTTTGGGGTACTATTTTATACGCCAAGATATTTGACGCAAAGTTTGTCAATACATACTCCATACTCCAATAATTATATGTATGTTGGAAAACTCCATACTACAAGCATACATGAGCATACTCGAAGTGTTTAAAAGTATTATATTCTTTACTAT